CAAACATGTGCCAGATGAATGAATTTAGTTTGGGATTCCTGCTAAAGAAGAAGAAAGAAAGAAGGAGGACCAGTCTTAAAGAGAGGAACGAGGACAAAAGAAAAAAAGAAGAAATGAAGAAAACACAAGGAAGACTGCCTGTGCAAATGCACTAGAATAAATGAGGGAAATGAAATGAGAAGGTAGAGGAAGAAATGTTGCCAAATCTTGAGCTGAGGCAAAACTCATCTCTGGGAAAAAAATAATCCCCCTTTCTTTTGTTGTTTTGACAAATCCAGGAAGTGCTTGTTCTACATCTACACCCTGAGACGGCATGCTTTATGGCGGCAATACAGACGGAAATGGGCAGAGATTCAAAGCAGCGGGGTCTTGATAGTGTTGAGTGGAATGCATGCCAGGACTATTTGTATGTGATACCAAGTATCACACGGATTCCTGTTTAGCTTGCAGGGATGCCTTTCATTAACATAATGGAGGAAGAGAGACAATTAGACGATTTGTACTGCATCGCTTAACTAAAAGAGGAGCCACGCGATGCAGAACAGAGCATGTTCTAGAAACTGTTGGAAGATTTGTACTAAGAGAGCGACATGTGTAAACATTTATGATCAGGATTTATGGGTCCATAGTATACAGCTTCCAGTTGTAGCAAGGATATGATGGTTAAATAGTGCTGTCTTTCACAGCTATAGATGTACCCCTCAGAAAGGGAAACAAAAGGAAAGGACAACGAACAGTAAGATTTACACTTAAGTTTACTGTTCTAAACAATATTGATGGGCCTTTTGATGGGACAACACAAGTAATGTTTGGTAAGTGGTGCTGCCATACTTACATGCTCACAGTAACAATGCTATAGTTGGTAGGACTTGATGCACATGGATGATAAAAAAACATTTCTGATAGCTTATGCTTAACGTTTAATGATATATCTCTCCCTCCTTTGGCCAACATTAATTGCAGACAGCAGGAGATTAAAGTCTCTCTTCTGGAAATCACTAGTATTTTTCCACTTTCCTGACTCTGTCGTTCTCTCAGTGGAGAGTTAAAACTGCCTCATACCCACCCTCGGAGCCGGGAATTGGATCTCAATTACCGAGAAGCTCCGTCTAATGTTTCATGTATGAGTGACCTCATTAGTAACTTACACCCTGTCCTCACCCTCTGGAACATGTATGGTGGCCGAAAACTCACATTCCCCCTCATCGGCTGAGGTCATATCGCAAAGGTCTAGCATAATAGGCTTGGTTGTTGGATGAAACATTCTTATTGATATGCTAATGTTCAACCAATCACAATCACAATTCGACTATCCTGTGAGTTGGTCTAGCATTGTGTAACCTATGGCTCAGGATGGTTAATTCATTCTGAAGCCATCCTTAGGGAAAATTGACTTATTGTTCAAAGTGATTCATCTCCCATAAAGTAATAGAAAAGCAATCCTCCTGACTGAATATATCCATGAATTCATCATTGTTTAACTTATTTGAATGGGACTCATTTATTCCTTAACTTATTTAAAATACCAAACGTTTTTTATCTGATGGTTTTGGTTACTTTTGTTGTTCACATTGGCTTTTGTTTAAGTGAATTTAAATTAAAAGATAATCCAACATTTTAAAAACATTTAACCATTTAACCTTTTCTAAAAGTCTCGGTAGAACATAAGAAAGCACTGACAGACTGACTTAGGTTCTGGTCTTTTCATGTTGCCTGTTTTTTGAAAATGATTTCATGGTACCGTACCATACGGTATAGTATGTTGGAAACCGTGACATCTGACCACTAAATATAAAGCTTAAAGGTCCAAAATGTCATACAAATAGTATAATGTCCATGTTCTGTCTGTTGAAACACCAACGGTAAAATAGTTCTGGACTCAACTTATTCACACATTAAATCTTTTTTGTCCTTCTTCTGTCTCTGCGAAACACATGAACAATCTCTCTCGCACACATGCTATGCTCGCAGTTGTTTTCCCCTCGCCAAAATAAGTGTATCAGCCCATCACAGCAGACGAGATTCAGATGAACTTGCAGGCTCCCCCGGAAGCTAAAAAAACAAGGATGCAAAACATGGAACAGAGATAGTAAGACAGAGAATGGGGAAGCTCTGAAAGTCAAACAATATTTGCTGTGTAGATTGCCTTACTCTCAATTTGCCGTGTGTGAGTTTTGCTAAGTATAAGAATGTGTATCCTTCATTAAAATTAGATACAACTTTGATGATGCCCTGGATACATGCCTGTGGGTGTACAGGGCACGTCTGTCTGTGCTGCCTGTCCTTGTGTGAGATTTACAGAGGAGCCTTTTATGATTTGTTAACTCAAAGCATACAAGCTTCTGAAATTACTGAAGGCCTAATTTTTCTTGACAAATAGCACAAAGTCAAGCTCCTGACAAAAACCATAAAGTCAGCGGTGCACGAAAAGCCTCGCAATTACACGTCTTCCTCCTCTCTTTTCAAAACTCTGTTAGTGCATCTTTATAAAGATTTAACATGCAGCAAAAGAAAGCAACTCTGCCAAATCAGATGCTGTCAAAATGGGGCTAAGTGAATGCACAGAAAGCTGTTTATCTCCGTAATGTCACTCACAAAGCAATTTCCGAATACATGGCATCACATGCACAATCCCCTGAATTCTGCAGGGAATTACAACACACTCAAAATGTAAGAGAAGCTGCCAAAAACCTGTCTTCAATTACAGCCGGCTTACACCTTCCAAGTCATTAGGAAGTGAGCAGGAGATGTAGCAAAAAAAAAGAAAAGGAAAGAAGCTTCAGCCAATTTAGGAAGTGACACCTGAATGTTCTGCATCATTGGCACAATTACATCACACACCTGTGTCTCGTTCGTTGTGATGAATAGATCTGATAAAGCAGCGGGATGGGTGAACATCGATTTAAAAAGAGTGTGACTGTCTACCTAAGGAAGACTCTTCAGACTGATACTCAACTTTGACACTATAGGATTTAAACATATCCACACAGTACTATAATATGTCTAATAATGTAGTAGTTTCAAAAAGTAAGCTGAAAACAGAAAGGCAAAATCCCAATACACAATTTAGGTAATCAGTTTTGTGTTCTTTAAAGGAAGTTGAGAAGATGCTGATTCCTCATTTATCTTTTCCTTAACTGTGAGATTTCAAAAGACAGCTCAGTGTAGCAACGATTCACACTACTGTGAAGTTATCCTCTTAATTTCACACAAGGGAAAAAGGCCTCCACACTTTCTCTGCATACATTTTTTTTTCCTAAGTATAGCTTTCATAAAAAAATTACTCAAACTTGTAATTCAGCTTTATCCCTTTTATACTAGTACATACAGTATGACCACTATCACTACTACTTTTCCTTCTGATCCTGCTAAGGCAAAATGATATCAGTATGAAGCAGGGACAACAGAATGAAGTGATGAAAAATGAAGAATATTCAAAAGAGAATCTTAGATTGTCCTTGAAGTGCTAGTATTTATTATGTACTTACAAGCAAAACCTGAAAGTTATTTTAGTTTATAGTTTTTACACACTGTATAAACTGTGTTATTGAGAATAAACTGCATTCAACTTGGAGCTATAAATCAGTTTACAATTTTCCAAACAAAAAAATATTACTTTAAAAACATGAAGGCGGAGTGTGGGGTTTTTCACAAGGATGACAAACCTGGATTTTTGTAATTTTCTGCTTTAGTATTTAGGAGGTATTGGACTGTACAAGGCTAAGTTATCAGTACATTTGATCTGAACAGCCAGGGTGTATTCATGCTTCTTTGCTCTTGTTTAATTACTGCTGTTATTTGGAACAGCAAGGCTCCCACCCCCTCCATGCAGAGCGAAGATGAGGAAGATGAGGAGCATGTTCAGCCACAGACTCATCCATGTAACCCATCAAAAATACCTGCCCTTTATGTACACAAGACTTTCGCCGCATTTCTACCTGCACATTTCCATGTTTATATATTTAACCGTTATACATTTCTGTATATAATTACATTCACCTGCTCAAATTCAGAGTTTAACTTGTGTCATTTTTGTTATTTTGATTCATTCTATTACTACATGTTTATTCTTATTTTGTCTTATTTTGTATTATGTGAATGTTGTTCTTATTATCCCATGTGTAATACCAGTGTTTCTGTCTTATTTTGTTGCTGCTACGACCTTTGCATTTCCCCACGGGGCTAAATTAAGGTCCATCTTAACTTAACTTAAAAGCAACACAAACATTTGAAGAGCAACAGAACATCTCCTTTAAGCTTGAACACTCCAAAAACGCCTTCTTACACCCACTAGACTAGACCACCCAAATAGTAACGACCACTGACACTGCTCAGGTGTATACAGTACACTTTTCCCGCTGACATTTTCAGAACTTCCAGCCTTCCTAATCCCTAATACAACCGACAGACATGCAAAAATCATAGTACTGTAGTAACAGATATACTTTTTGTTTTAATTTCAGTGCAGTTCAGTTACAGCTTGCATTGCCCAACGCATGTTTTGTTTCATTTGACAGCAGTGAAAGTGTCCCAAGACTGTGGTTCGGAACTGCTTAAGCTGTTGGTTTCATATAGCAAGTCTTTGATGGTACAGCAGAGAGACAGCCGTGAACAGTATTAAAACATTTCAAACAAATCTCTGTAAACTCATAGTTTAGAACATGTATTAGTAGTACTATTCCTACTTTAACCATACTTGGATAACTACTCTAATTCATACTCAAACACTACTCAGAGTGAGAGCTATCTTTATTTCAGGGTAGACTGTGGAGTATATGGGGCAGGATTTGTTATGGGAGGCAATAGAGAACATCATGGATTTTTGGTTTTTGGGATAGCCTGGAGGATTCCAGAATTCCTAAATTGGATTGATTAAAGGTTAATGCCTATCTTTGCCACTGTTGTATACACCCAAAAAAACCTCACACACCACATCCTTATTTCAGGCAGTATCCACCTCATTGCCCTCCCTACTAGTTTCATATAATACCAGCCCATACCTGAATCCATGAAATCTTGGTTTAAGCCCTGCCAGGCCCCTTTGCTCTTCTCCAGGTTCGCCTCCATGACCTTGATGTCAGCGAAGGGACAGTTGCACTCTGGGAAGCGGGGCGAGCAGCGGCACCAGCAGTCGTTGTTGCGGCAGAGCAACTCGCCCTCTGAGTTGCATGCCACATAGCTGAGGGCTGCCTCCACAAAACGCTCACGCAGGAACTCTGGCAGGACATCTTGCAAGCCTGATAAAGAAAGAAGAAAAACATAGTAAGGTATTAGTTCATTTTCTTTGTTACAAGTTCTACTATGCTTCTATACATTATTTATTTTAAGTCTGAGATGAATTTAAAACATTTGGATAGGGTTTGTACATCAAATGAGTGATTTTCTACTGAATTAAACAATATTTGAAAGAATATACTTGGCAAAGGATTTGTGATTGGCAACATAAATGATTTAAAGCAAAAAATAATTATATTTCTTTAAAAGCAACATTTACTGTAGCATTATCTGCTTGTCATCATTGCTTTTTGATGTAATTGTTTTAAAAGGCATCTTATTATAAAGTGCTACTGACAATATAAATTGATTGTCAATTATGGCATGTTCTAGAGGTCTATGACACTATAATTCCAGCTTCTATATTACACCAGAAATCAAGCTATTAAAATGTTCATCTGCACAGAGATACCGACACTAATAACATGTCCTATTGACACGTGCACAGACAACGGCTTATCATTTGGCTGTGTTTATTGTCAGGGGTGCTCAGTTATCCAAATTTCAAATGGCTCTCTGTTCTCTGACTGATTGGCAAAGAGACTCCTACTCCGAATGTGTGGTGGTATTATCAGAGGAACAAGAAAATACGTTGTTTTCTCCAGAGCTGCTCGACTCGTAACATTTTCAGTGGAAGCTCTAGCAGCAGGTGCTGTGCTATGCAATAGGTTTAGAATCCTGCCATGGGGTATACAGTATTTGAGTAGTTTTGCAAGCTTTCAGTGGAAACTGTCACCTAGTCTGCAGTCATCATAAACAACCTGCTGTTCCTTCCCACGTGTTCAGATTGTTTTCTATCTGCTGGATTTCTTTATTTCCTCTTTTCTTTATTTCTTAGTTGTACATGTGCATGAGGTGGGATTGAAATGTGTCCATCTTTTTTTTGTTTCAATGCAAAAGTATTGTAATAATTAAGGAGATTATGTCTCTAAAGCCTTTTATTTAGGATCAATACCTCATTAATCTGCAGAAAATTGCAAGAGAGAAACACTGAACTCTGCTCTTCCTGTAAGTCACTTCAGTTTTTCCAAATGAAGCACTGTTTAAAAACGCTATACTCCACACACTAAAAATGAACATTGATGTTGCTAATGCATAGCTTAAGATGTGTAATGTAGACTACTTATTGAGGTAGAATCACACAAATAAATTCCCAAGCTATTTCAAACACTGTCTTTCTTCACAGCGGGGTAAAATCACACTTAAAAATGTTGCTGCTTTCATTTATAAATAAAAAATACAGTAACATCCTAATCATGCTGCCAGAGTTTCCTGACAGTCGATTAAACCAAATCAAAGGCTGATGTGTGTTCGTAAAAGCACATAGTCATCTATTTGAAACCAACAGGCGGCCTTCAGAATTCATCTGATGGTGCATGTGTGCCTCTCTGTCTAATAGTTCTACAATTTGTTATGTCAAAAGCTTCCTCACTTCACAATCTTAGTCTGGATGAATTTCAACAGCCAAGTCAATCCTGCTTTGCCCTGGTATGAATATGCATGTCTCTTCTTTGGTATTTATCATTTAAATGACTTGGAAAGAGATGTAAGGATTAATCTTTTCAAAATGCCATGCTTTGGCAGGTGCTTCGAGGTGAAGTATAATAATCGCAACGAGAAATCACAGCATGTGTTTTGTTTTTCATTATGCCTACAATGCAAAGCCTATAAATCAACTGTCTTAGGGCCGTTCTCCCAACTACCTACTGTGTCAGAACTGCTTGGGTTTTCTATATGACGCAGAGCTGGGAGAGTTTAATATGACATATTTACTTGATCACAGTTTCAAGTAAAGTTAAGCCCATCAGCTAAACATCAACCCTGAACATCATACGATATGCTGCACATAGGGGCATGGTGATTGGGAAAGTATTCTCCCTAACTGAATAGATGTTACGCCTCCAGGTTGCTACTTCCTTTGTATTGCAGTATGATTTATAGCCTTCTTAACTTGAATTATAATTAATCTAAAATTGGTGTCACTTTATTAATTATGTACTGCTCTGTGGAGGGAGTATTAAGACAACCCTTTAATCACTCGTTGAATCATTCACTCATCAATCCGCCATACTGTAATGGTTCCAGGCACAGAGATGTGGATTCGCAAGAGGTACTCAGAGGTAAAGTACTTGAAAGCAATCAATCGTTTACTTTGAGCTCAAAGCACAGTTCTGCGACAGGTAATCTGTCAAAGAAGGCAAAGTAAGCAGTCAAGGACCAGACAGGCGAAACCGAGAAAAGGTTGTGGTCAGCATCAGAGGGGCAAGGAAAAAGGAACTAAGGTTGGTTTGCAAGGGTTGCATAATGCATTAGGGTAGGGTCAGGATTAGGGTTATAAGAAGACAACACCAATCATGAGTGACCTTAGTTATTCTGAAATTAGATAATCTTTTGCCAAATGACCAGTATTTGTGTTGCCTAAACATTTAACACTAGAACCGCCAACGGGTACATTTTACCCGCAGCTGTTTCTTGATTATATGTAACTTTTTTTCAATAAAATATTCAAGTCTCCCAGTCCATGACTTTTTCTGAAAGTGTGTTATGTAGCACCCTCTGTTGTGTTTTCAATATGAAGTCAGATTGAAAAAATTGCCATTCATCAGCGCCAGCGGGTAATATTTACCTTATAGAAAATTCAGTGATTTTCGCGCTACTGATCTCGCGCGAAAACATAAACATGACGTGCTGCTTACTGCGGTTCCTTATATATAGATAGATAGATAGATATATATATATATATAGATAGTTATAGATAGATCGATAGATAGTTATAGATAGATGGATTGATAGAGAGATAGAGAGACACTTTGCACATAACTCATGGTCGCAATCTTTTATACTTCATGCAATGCACAAACTAGATATCATATGAAAGCTGAGAGTCCACAGATTCTATTGGTATACGTTTAATCACTGTGCGATCAAAACTCACTCTTAACCCTGTGTTCTAGTATGATAAATAAAAGAACATTGTACCTTGAAAATCAATGCATTCTAATAGCGGGTACATTTTACTCGTTGGCGGTTTTAGGTATACAGCGACCCCTGGCGGTTCTAGTGTTAAGGTCTGTTGCCTAAACCTCAATGAGTTGTTTTGTTTGTGTTTCATTACAATGTGTTACAACATTTAGATTTTTTAGATCTTTCACAACTTACTAACTGCATTTTGGCCCATTTAATGCATTAGAATGGTAGCAAAAATCACTGATTTCATCCGCTGATAACAATTCAATCACTGGCAAGAGTGCTGGCAAAGATGTAGGGGAGATGAACAGGGAATGGGGAACAGGTGTGCTGGTAGGTTAGGGGATAAGGAGATAATATAGAGACACTTGTCACACTTGGACGAAATGACAGTCCTCAATTTGCTCTATGATGATACAAATGTGTAATCATTTATGGATGAAATGCCATGTCCTAACTAAACGTTTACAATTTGTGTTTTTGGAAACAAGTCATTGTTTTTCTTGTCAGGCAGCTTTTTTCTGTCCCTGCCAGGAATTTTAGGAACTGTCTGTGTATTTTCTGATGGGGGCTTTTGGGTCATTACCCATAAGGCTCTCTTCCATCCTGCCAACACATTTGATTACACCAGTAGACCAAAAATAACAGACTCACGGGACCACAAATAAAAGACACAAGGTCTCTTTCTATCTCTAAATCTGCAGAAGAGCCCACACTTACCATTTTACCAATTTGAAGCTCTTAAGCCTTGCTCATTATCAACACCCAGTCCATATCAGTGTATGTCTGAGTTTGTGTGTCTGCTCTGCTTCAGTTGAATGCACTATCTTGATAACTTGATATCTGCGGCTGGGCTTTTTATCAGCCTATACACCTGGGATAATGTCTATATTAGATACTTTAACACCTAAAACCTTCATGTGCAGCATTCACTACTAATATAAGAAGTACAGTAGTTTGCCCCTATGCATTTAGCAAAGTGGAAAGTAGGTGTGGGAAAGTAGGGGTCTTGGATGGGCATAGAGCAAACAGTCACATACTTAGAAATACAATTCACCCTTTATCAGTGTTTCCCTAACCTTCCATAACCTACATTTTTAGTTTCTTAGCCTTATCCGTGCCTTAACCACTCACCCCAACCCTAGCCCTTACTCCTTACAATAGTCCTTCCTTTCCTAATCATAAACATGTATATAGGTGCCATGCCCAGAGACGAATGTTCTTGACTGGCAGAATGGTTGGTTTCTTGGAATCTCTGAGCCTTCTACAAAATATGTGGCCTTCCTAAACATAACTTGATCAACTGTTGCAGAGAACATTTGTGTTCAACAGAGGTAGAGAGCTCAAAACACTATTCACTAAAGATGTCCCACTCAACCAGGTCACTTGCTGGGATTCTTGAATGTTAAATGATGATGACCTACTGTACTGTAACAGGACCATAATAAGACTTGTAGAATACATAATACAACAATGGAGGTTTAATTACACACGGAAAGATTACTCAGTATTTGTTTGCGAAAAGTAACACAAACTATACAGCATTGCTTGACAATGACGTTAGAGAGGTTCATACTGTATGGGGGGTGAACAACTTTTGTGTGAGGCAAGGTATTAGGATAAGAACTGAACTGAATATCAAGAACAAAGCTTTAAAGGTGGGGTAGGTAAGTTTCAGAAACCGGCACGAGTGCACTAACATTTGAAAGTACACAGCCGAAAAGAATCCGCCCCTTCCTTCAGACTTCCTTACAGAGCACCTCCTCCAACACACATGAACGCGCACATGACGTCAGCAGACTGGTGAAAGTGGCCGCCTGTTGCTGGCGAGTCATTGAAGTACTGCTGCAATGCACGCCCAATGAGGGCACGCCCAATGAGGGCACGAGGTACATTTGTGCGTGCACGAGATGGAAGGCTGACAGACAGGGCGGCAATCCAATCCGTTTAGCCGGCCCGGCTAAACGGTTGTACTTTTTACAGTATTACGCTTCCA